AATAAAAAATAAAAAAAAAGTGTTAAAAAAAAAAGAAAAATAAGGGATATGTACAGGCAGCACCCTCTGTTATACTCAGAGAGCTAGGAGTGCAATATGATGGCAGAGTGGCTCTCTAGAACAAGTCAGGCCCTGGGTTTGGCTCCAGAGCTACACAAGGGCAGGGGAGACAAAAGCTGTATTTCTAGGAGGCAGTCTAATATGCCATCCAGAATGCATTTTCAAAAATAGCTCCACAGCTAGGAAAAACACTACACTGAACCATGTATGGAAGGAAAGAAGGGAACTGGTGGCCCAAACCAGAACTAGGCTTTGTTTTCTATAAAGAACCAGAGGAGGATAAGGGCTCAGGAAGGATCCATGATTGATCACAGCCACTGTGCACTGGTAAGCACCAGGCAGAGAAAATAAGACAAACACACCTGTCATCACATCCCATGAGACAGGGACCAAAGACAAACCAGTAAACTCCAAAGGATGTCAGACTGGAGAAAACTAAGGAGAAAGCCAAGGTAGAGAGAAATGGGTGGCAGGTAGGCAGTGAGACCCCATTATGAGCCAAGCCTGAGCTATAAAGCTGGGGAGAATGTCCAAGGAGAATCGGAATGAACAGGACAGACTCTTTACAGACAGAGTGCTAAGGTCTGTGGTCACAGGGTCAGGACAAGACCCTGTGTTTCAATGACACCCAGGGATGGCTGGGCAAGCTCTCTGGGCTTTCAGGTTCTGAGTGCAGACTGAGGCCAGCACATAACCAGCTCACAGCTTTCAGGGTCTGGCCAGGGCAGCACATGGACAACACTTAAGAGTGGAGCCTGATCCCAGCATAGGACCCATGATGCTAGGCACAGCATGATGACCACCCCTCTAAGAGTGCTGTGCCTTCAGAATCGAACAAATAACTGCTGAGGTGACACAGAGTTCCAGGTGAAACCTCAACAAAGCTTGCACCCCCCAAGCACAGAGAAGCAGGTTCCAACTCCCAAAGCACCAGCAAGACTGCCTGTGAGGCTTCAGATGGCCTGAGCATGGTGGGTGAGCCCCTCTGGGCTCTCATCTCGTAGGAAGTGTTTCTCTTTCAACTTTAACAGAGAGTGAGTATGTAGCTCAGGCTGGCCTTGAATTTGTGCTGATCATCTTGCCTCAGCCCAGCCTCCCAAATGCTGGAATGACAGGTGTTCTCTACCCTATCTGGCTTCTCTCCTTACTCTTACTTGAATCTAGCCAGGGATGTTAAATCAAATTATATTCCAGGACTTGGGTGCCTATTGGTGAGTTTTGCCCAACAACCACTCAACTGAAACTTCTTGTGGGCTTTGCTTTATTCCTCAAAGTAGCCTTGTTGTGCCCAGACACCCTGGATCAAAAGTGGCCTACTCTCTTATAGGAGGGTGCTAGAACATGTTTCACATTCCTTGTGACCTTAAAGCACCACACAAATGGGAGCTGCCTGGTTTTAATCCTCCTGGTCTAAGTATTCTGCTAGTCTTGACAGGTATTTTTGTGTAACTCGTTCTTGGGGGCTGAGGACTGGGAATCGAACCCAGGGTCTTTACACTGAGTTCCATCCAACTCAGTGTTTTTTTTTGTTTTTTTTTGTTTTTTTTTGAGTGAGAGTATTAGTTGCTAAGTTGCCCAGCCTGGGCTTGAACTTGTAATCTTCCCACCTTTGCCTCCAGAAGTGCTGGGATTGAAGGCTGCACTCCCACGCCTGGCTTCATTTTATTTAATTCTTCTGACAACTTATTCTCACATTTTGTGCCTCCCTTTGCACTACTAACTTTTATAAATCTGGGAAGGGACTCCTGGGGTGTTAGTAGTAACAATGACAGCCAGAGAAACCTGAGTGCCCTTTAATTATCACTCACATGAAAGCATGTCAACCTGAGGAACATGTGACCAAAGTGTATTAATGATAATCACGCCAATCCTTTTCTTTTCTTTTGGGGGAACCGGGGATTGAACTCAGTACCTGGCTCCTAGACCGATCCTTTTCTGCACACCAATAATGTCTTTCACACAGATTATTCCAAGACAGAGGTCATTAAGAGCCACTGGTTTTATAAGCAAGAATGATAGAGCCTGGGAAGCACTATGTACCCCCGACATGGGTATGAAGTCCACCACCCACCACACATTGGGACTGAGACAGAGACTACTCTGGCCTGTTTCTCTTCTGTGACCTGGGGATGGTGCACAGCACCCAAGCAGAAGGTGACTGTGTGGGTTAAGCTGCTGTGACACTGGAAATAGGGACAGCAGATGAGGCACTGAGTAATACAAGCTGTTTTCCTCTGTGCTGACCCACGGACCACAGTCCCATCAACAATGGCTTTCCCTCCACCTGCCTTGTCTCCCCACGTGTGTCCTGGGCATGCTGCTGACATCTGTGCCTGCACGTATCCCCACCGAGGCACTCCCAGCAGCACAGTCCTGCTTCACTGCCTCAGAGGCTTGGAAGCCCATTTACCTGGTAACTGCTAAACCAGGATTCTGACCACTAGTTCTTCCTTCTGTAGGAAAGTAAAGGGTGGTTCCTGAAGATCACATGGGATTGCTCTTTGCTGGACCTAATTGCTAAGGACTACGAAGTGTTCTCCTGGCTGTGTAGGATGCTTCTCCACCACTCTTTTCTCACGCCGGGGCCCTGGAGCAAAGGGGTCATTAAGGGCCGCATAAAATGGACAGAGCTGTTTCTGTACTGGCACTATTCATGATTCCTGCCTTTGCCCAGTCACAAGCAGCAGGACCTTGTCCAGTAACATGAGGAGAGAGACTATTTTCTCTGTCCTTTTGGTCTCCCTTGTTCCCTCTGGGAGAAGCGCTGAGCCTTCCAGGTTAGGACCATAGGTCATCCCTCAACTGGGAAAAGGGACAGATTGTCACAGTTGTAATTACAGGTGAGATCAAAGGTCATCTGACTTTTGGAACCTTCTGAGAGCTTGAGACACTCAGGTGGTTCACTGAAGGGACAGAATTGGATCTATTGAAGGCAAATGGATTCTCAGAAGCCTAGAGAACACAGGAGGAAAATCTGCCTTTCAACACAAGGCCAGAGGCATACCCAGGAGATTCTACCTGAGGGCCTCAACCCTTTTCTACCCCTCCCTAGTCCAGTTTCAGCAAATATTAGCCTCAGCTTCAAACTGCTTGAAGGTTCCCTGAAGAAAGTCTGGAACTGGGGTTTGCTCAGGTGTAGAGCATGTGCGTTGCATATGTGAGGATTTGGGTTTAATCCCCAGCACCAAAAACACAAGTAGGTGAAAATAGGTGTGTGACTTGATAAAATTTACAGTAAATGTTCACCACCTATAAAGACAAGCTGGGCTACAAGAGTTCAAGACCAGCCTGATCTACCACCACCAACAAAACAATAATTTATAAAGAACTCCTAGAAGCCAGCAAGCAGCAAGGTAATGTTGATTATGGGAAATAATGGAGGAGGAAGAGATGAGAGAAAGAGGGGAGGAGGAAGAGGAGAAAAAAGGGTGAGAAGAGGAGGAGGAAGAAGAGAAGAGGGAATCAGTGGCAAGGGAAGTTCTTTGACCCTTACTAAAACTAGTAAAGTTTATTTCAGAAAGTGTTTTCTTTCCCTTACCTCTTTTGCAATACTGGGGACTGACCCAGGGCCATATGCCAACTAGGCAAATGTTCTACTACTAAGCTATGCCCTTGCCCTCAAACTTTTTTTCCTAAGTAGGATGGCACTTTTTTGTTGTTGTTTTTGCATGTGTGTGGCTGGCTCAGCCAGCCCTGGGGGGTGGGGCTGGCGCAGCATGTGGTGTCAGGGATCAAACCCGGACCCTGCGCTTTGCCTAAGCTTGCCTAAGCAGGTACTTTAGACAGCTGAGCTATCTTACCAGCCCCTTGCTATTGTTTTTAGAGATAGGGTCTCACTTTGTAGTACATACTGGCCTTGAACTATGTAACCCCCAAATAGCTCTGAACTCATAGCAATCCTCCTGCTTCAGCTTCTAGAGTATTGGGATTATAGGTGTGCGCACTACCACACCTGACTTTTGTTTGGGCAAGTGCACTACCAATGAGCCCCATATCCCAGCCCTGCAGATGAGGTTTCCCATGGTGCCTTAAGATAGCAGAAATGTGCTACTCCTCTGCTGGCAGAGAGGGTGCAAGGCCTGGGGCTCTGTCTTCCTGGCCCCCTTACCCTTTCCTTGAGAACACATGAATTGAAAGGGGAAAGAAATTGACATTTAGATAAATAATGGACAAATGAATGGGCAGAAAGGAAAGCTCCTCCCTCTTGTGGAGGATGCAGTGGATTTGGAAAATCAGCACTTTGGAACTATCACGGTAACAGTTTGAACAAAACCACTGGTCCACAAGACAGTTTGACAAGATGCAGGACACTTGCAAGCTCTTTGTGCAAATGGCTGGCACAAACAGGGGATACACTGCTGAGCAGGGGCCTGTGTCACTGCTGTTGCTGCCAGAAGTGTGCATGCCCTGTGAGGCAAACAGAGGCAGAAGGGCTCTAGAGGAAGACAGATGAGGTGAGGAGCAGCACAGGCGAGGTCCTAGGTCCAATCCAAAGCATGAAACCAAAACAAAAAACAGTAGAGACAACCTGATGATGGGGTAGGATCCTTGACTAGGTCACGTATGGAGGAAAAAATGCCACAAAGGACATTATCAAAACAATTCCATCTGAGGCAGACTGCCAACTGGACTCATACCCTGGGTCAATGTATCGATTCCCCATTTTGGCCACTGTCCCATGGTGGAGTAAGAGAACACAAGAGGGACATGGCACAGGCCAGCTAATTTCAACCATGTCAGAAAAAGCCAACACAAAGTTCCTGCAGGAAGCTCGTGTGAGGTAATCAGAAATACCACAGCTTTACTGTGGTAAGGGAAGGGTGTGGGCAAAGCCTCCAAGGATGCTACTGCACTCACCTGCGTAGGACAGCCCAGCGATCTCCACAAACAGTTCTTCCTCAGAGAAGCTCTCAGGGAGCATGAGGAAGGCTGTGGTAACCGCACTCCTCAGGTTCTTATCCAGGGCTGATCGCAGGGTGACATCCTCATTCATTGCTACGATTTTCACCTGGAGAAAGCAGGATTGTCAGGAGAAAAATTGCTGAAGCCCTGACTTTATTTTTTTCTGTACTGAGGTGGGAGGGCTGTAGACAGGAGTACTCTACTACTGAGCTACAGCCCCAGCCCTCTCTTTCTGAGACAGAGTCTTGTGAATTTGCCTGTGCCAATCTCAAACTCGTGGCCCTCCTGCCTAAGAGTTATGGGTATGTATGTGCCTTGGAACTATTCCAAACACCTACCACCAAGATCCTGGAATATCAGTTCAGGTGACACAAGATACTTATTATTCTAATAAGTAATCCTAGAATCTCCCATCTTAGGTCAAAGTCAGAAAAACCATGATACAAGAACAGATCACAATGCCAAAGAAAACAAAATTAATGTTCCTTTAAATGAGAAACTCACCACAGGATTTATTTATTTATTTATTTATTTTAAGACTAGGTCTCACTATGCAGTTCAACTTACTATAGCCCAGGATGGCCTTGAGCTCATGGCAATCCTCCTTCCTCCTTCCAGAACTGTCTTGAGTTCTGGAAGTACAGCCCTGTACCACTACATCTGACACCACAGGCTTTAAGAAAGGAAGAATATCCTTTGGGAACTTCAACATTTTTGAATGTTATATTATTTTCCACTGTTCTTCACTTAATTTTCTAGTGGAAAAAGGGATTTCATTTCAGTAGCTAGTGTGCATCCCTCTTCTTGCCCTATATAAGCGGAAAGTTCATGCTCTATTTCATGATTTTTAGATACACTGATTTTGAACTTGACTAAGAATGAAAGGAAAGAAAATGAACTAACAGAAAAATGCATTCAGAAGACAGGGCTGAGCTCAAGTCCAGCTATTCCACTAGCTCTGTGAATTTGAGCAAATTAACTCCTCAGAATTTAAGTCCTCATCTATAAAATAAAGATACCTGCTTTGTTCAAGCATGTGTCCTGGGTGTGTTTCTCAGTGCGCTTCACAGCCCAAGGGGCTCCAGGCATGGAGCACACACTGCCAGTGAGTTCTGGGAAGTACAGATACCATGGCCTCAGGACATTCCCAGGCAACTCTGAGGGCACAGATCCTTGTAATGGCGACATCAACACACACCCTGCCTGAATCTTTTCCCAACTGCTTCTTCTAATTGACACTGTCCACAGAGAAAGGGCCTGGTGGGCTGGACAGAGAGCTCAGCACTCTTAAGTGCCTGCCTGGCAAGCACAAGGACCTGAGTTCCATCCCTGGTACACTGGGTGTGCTGTGCTGGGCACTGAAACCAGATGTGATGCCAGCGCTAAGGAGGCTGAGATAGGAGGATCACTGAGTCTGAGCTGTGTAGTGAGACAATGTACCAAGTAAATAAAAGATTTAAAAGAATTTTTTTTGAAGAAAGTGCCTGCTAGGCCCTTAGAGGACTTCTGTGTCAGCCCCATGCCCTCCTTCCCTTGGCCATGTGGTGCAGTCACTCTGCCTCATTCCAGGAAACAGGGCCTAGGATGCCTTTTGTCAAATACATGTAACTTAAGACAAGTAATATGGCACCTGAGGGACATAATGTAAGAAACTACCAAATGAAATTTCATTAAAATGCAAGAAGAGAGAACAATACAACTTTTTCCCCAGGGTATAGCTTTGTTTTTTTAAATAACAAAAAGCAGTACTAAACACAGGTAACATTGATAAATCAAGCTTAACCACCCAATTTTTCACCTTGCACTCTTTCTTCCTTGGGAACACAAGCAACAGGTGGCCCTCACATCTGACCAGCAGGCCAAGTCCTTGGTGTCTCCTTGCCTACCCAGACCATTGTGAGGACTTCACGACCTCAGTGAGGCCTCCCCCACCTGTGAGCTTAGTGCTCTCAGTCACCAGAACAAAACCAAGGAGCCTCTAGGATCATGACCTCCTGAGTACATGGGGAATTGACAGCAAGTGGCATGGTAATAGCCTTAACACTCTGCAAATCAACTCCTCAACATCTTGACTGTCTTCTTCTTTGAAAGGTCTTATTACGTACATTCTAGGCTGGCCTTGAAATAACACTGTACCCCAGGCTGGCCTCAAACTCACTATGTAGCCCACCCAGGCTGGCCTTGAATTTAGGATAATCCTGTGTAAGCCTCCTGGGTGTTGGGATTACAGGGACACGCCACACTTGTCCTAATCTTTTTTTTTTTTGTATTTTTTTAGTACAGGGTCTTCAAAGTCTTACTACACAGATCGGACTTATAGTGATCCTCCTGTTATCAGCCTCCCAAGCATGGGGAATTACATGTGTGTGCCACCACACCCAGTCTCAATTGCCATCTCTGGCAAGGCATGCTGGGGAATCGAACCCCAGTCACTGTGCTCTGCCTAAGCAGGTGCTTTAGTCAACTGAGCTATCTGGTTGGCCTATTTATTTTGAGACAGTCTCACTATGTAGTTCAGGTATATAGGGCAACCTTGACCTCACTATGTATTGCAGGCTGGCCTCTAACTCACAGTGGGACCTCCTGCCTCAGCCCCACAAGTGCTAGGATTACAGGTGTGTGATAACACACCTGGTTTAACTTTTATCTTGACATATGATTATAACAGAAAGAGAACCATTCTCTTTTTGGAAGTGCGAGGGATTGAACTCAAGGCCTTGCATGTACCAAGTGCATGTTCTATTGCTGAGCTATACCCCAGTCTCCCAATTGTAAGGTCCTATAAATTGTCTTATGTTTACTGCTTGACTAACTTTTCAAAGCTTTGTATTCCATATGGAATCACTGATCTAGGAGTCCAACCTCCTCACTTACACAGGTGTAGAAACTGAAGGCCAGAAGTTAAAAGTTTCCCTCAAAAAAAGCTGCCAGCAGCAAAGCAGGGTCCTGTCCTCTGTGGTGCCTCTCTATCACCACCTCCCCTTCACCACCTCCATTCCACAGGTCCTTCTCAATACCCCTAAACCCTCTCTTCTTTTTCCCTCCCTTACCCTTCCTTTTAATCTCCAAGGCTTTCAAAGACAGTGACATTAGACGCTATTCTGAAATGCTAACAATTCAAAGACACAAAGAAAATAATAAATTTGGGGAATATTTTCCTAGTTAACCAAAATCTCACTTGTTCTCCAAGGGAGCTGTTCAACTTAGGTTGTAAAAAAGCAGTCTAACAGCAGACTACAGCACCTGATTAGGCACAGTGCAGTGGCCAGGGTTTGATCCTCTGTGTGCCATGCTGGCCTCGCCCCTGGGGCCTGCTAAGACGGTGATTAAGACTGGGCTTGGTGCTGCGTGCCTATAATCCCAGCTCTTGGGAGGCTGAAAACAGGAGAAGCACTGAGTCTGATCTATGTAGTGAGACCCTGTACACCCTCTAATAAATACAGGGAAAAAAAAAGCAGTTTATTTGCTGTTGAAAGTTAAGAAAGTACAAATCCAAGTGTCCTCACTCAAAGGAAAAGTGTCAATTTGGGAAGCTCTGCTACTTTGAGACCTGACTCTTCTGAGCAAGCAAGGTGCACTACAAGGTCTCTTGGTAGCACTGTGATTTGTATGTGGAGGGAAAAACCAGTGCGTGCCTAGGGTGCTGCCTGAGGCTAGAAAGAGCAGAGCCCCGGGGTTGTGAATAGCTGCTTGTGCCTCACTGTGAATGCCTGCCTGAACTGCACAGACAGCACTGACGCTAGGCCAGGGTCTTGGCTGCAGCGAGGAAGAGGCAATGCTGGAAGTGATTGTCAGAGAAGAGATTTGTGAGACTGGAATAGAGCAAGCCACACATAGCTCCACTGTGACAGTGGCAAGGATGAGCCACCTGAATAGCAAACAGCAGGGTCTTGGTCACAAAGAACAAGAGCCTGCCTAACTCTGAAATAAATACTCAACCACTCCCTAGAATTTTTCCATTAAAAATACCAGGAGAGGGGCTGTGCCCAAAATGTCCCTGTTGGTGGAGAAAGAAACATGGGCAGAACCAGGCCACTGCCCCCACCTGCTGGCTGGGGCTCTGTGAGGACAACCACCGGGCAGAGCAGAGAAGAAACTTGTCTTTTTGGTCACAAGGGAAACAGCCAAGCCCTACACTTCAAAGGGAGCCCTAAATTGACTGACAGCAGGCAAAGCCCAAACCAGGAAGGGCGGCTTCCCGTTTGCCATTTGGGCAGCTTGTAGCACCAGGATTTTTCTACTGACAAAACAGAAATCCATAAAGCTACAACCTAGGGATAGGGACTCTCACAGAACTGGAAATGCACTAATAAAACATGGAATTTGGTGCTTTAAATGGTCAATTACATATTATGTAAAGTATATAAAGCTGTTACAAAAAAGTAAACCTGAGTGATTAGCAAAAACATATTGCAATGAATAAAGTCCTCTTAACAAAACGGTAAAATATCAATCAAAGTGAATGCTTTTAAGATCCAAGCCAGCCTGTGGTCTCCCCCAGAAACTGTGGGGCTGAGGTAGGAAGGTTGCTGAAGCCTAGCTGCTGGATACCAGCCTGGGCAATGCGGTGATACCACCACTCCAATGGAAAAAAATCAAACCAAACTAAAACCATACACACAAGAAAAATTACCAACATACCAAAAACAATGTGAATTACAAGAATCCAAAGTTGGCCAGGAAACCAACTGTATTAATTTTTTCTTTTTTAATTTACAAAGGCTCATCCACCATGTCTATGAAAAACTTTGAATTTCATGGTTCTTAACTTGAAAAGCAGTTGTAAGGCCTGGGCTGTAGCTCAGATGACCTGCCCAGCACTACGCACATGCATCATGCACACACACACACACACACACACACA